CGTGAGTTATTTTACTCAAGTAAAATGACGCATGAGTCATTTTACTCACGTGTGCGGCGGATTTTCGTTGAGTAATTTGACGCATGCGTCATTTTACTTGAGTAAAATAACTTACGTATGCGCCGGGCTTTACTCCCAGGAGAATGCTACATGTTAGCTGCAGCTATGCTGATGCTAGAGCTATAGCTGCAGGATGGCGGGAGTGTACACGCACCCTGGTAGTCATTCTCAGATTGCCTCCCTCAAGGAACCATCAATACTGTGAATACTGTCACCACACCCCCACAGCTTCCCTTCTGTCCCCAAAAGTGACAAAACTGACTACTTTCGCTCCGGTTTGCCCCCCCCTCTCCACATTGTCACCTCGACTCATATATCTTCGTTCCACCACATACGATTGTCCCCACCTCCCTAACCTGTCACTTCGCCTCCTTACACTGTAACCCCACGAAGCACCTCGCTATTCTGTAAGCACGCTAAGCTACATCCATCCCCTCTCATTGTCCCAGCTTCCACAGTACGTACGTACGCAACTCATCCTTTCCTCCCCCCCCTCCTCCTCCTGCCACGCACATGCGCACGCTCGACGGCAAACGAAACCCAGTTTCAAGGACGATTGACGGACGTTCGAGCTGCTTGAGCAGTGGAAGCGAGAGCGCGGCAGTGAGCAAGGCCCCCGGGGGAGCGGCGGCGGCAGCAGCACTTCCTCTCTCATTATCCCCACATCGGCTCTCTACATTGTGGTAATTCAGAATTAATTCGGGCTTAATTAGCGAGCGGTGGTCTCCTTCATTAGACGGCGTGAGTGGGGGGTGGGGGGCGTCGGCGGTGCTCTCACAGTTCCCCGCGGACGTCCGATTCGACGGGACACTGTGATGGATATGGTGAGAGTATGGAATGGAGGAAGGGGTGGTGCAGGGGGGGAGGGTAGATGGAAAAGAAGGTGTAACAGTGAATAAAAAGGTTCCCTAATTGTACATGTGGGACCGAGAGCAAGGAAGGGAAAGGAAGGGGAGAATGAGCAAGAGAGTGAGAGAAGAGAGGGAGAAAATGCAAAGGAGTGAGAGAAAGAATAGAGGCGAAGAAAGAGAGTAAGAGAGAGAGAGAAGAGAGAGAGAGAGAAAGAGAGAGTAGGAGGGAGGGAGGGGGAGG